GGCCAAACGGGCTCTTAGTATCCTAATAAAACATACATAAAATAATAATTATAGTTACAATTAATTTTACTTAACACTTATTTGCACTAATTATAATTAAAAAGGTTTACTGTTTGAGCTTCTTATTTTTTTTTACTTTTGTAAAAGTAAATATAGATAGAAAAGTTCGAAATTTGAATAGTTTTATACTGAAATAAACAGATAAAAATTGAAATTTTCAATGGCCACCGAAGCAATCTACTACCTATTATAATTTCTAAGCCTTATGTTTTCTTTTCTCAAAAAAGAAAATATTTTGTTTAGTTTTTTTCATGCTTATAGCGTGCATTAGGACTCATTACATAGAAGTTCAAACAAGGAATATTTAATATGTAAAATTTTAGTTGCTTTGGAACTCCAAAGTATGAAAGTAATGTACAAAATTTAGTTTAGAACTCCTAAATATTAAAAAAATAATTAAATAACTATTCTATCTAATGTAATATTATTTTTTACATTTCGCTAAGGGATTTCATGCTTTTTATATAATGTGTGTGCGCGCGTATACATACACATTTAGGGTTGTGCGGTTTTATGTCATTACATGACTTTAATTGTACACGAACTATTTACTTTGTAAGATAAGAATAGAAGTCTGTAAAATACGTATTAATTGTTTATCGTTGAGACAAATTTACGTGCTTCGATGAAATTTGTATCTTCTCTATGATGCTTCGTGATGGACTGATGATCTCCTATAAATTATTTGCTTATCACGTTAAGCATCTTACATGTATGGATTTATTTCAATTAGTATACTTTATATAATGTAAAATATTGATAAATTTAAACTCTTAGATAGTAGGATTTCGTACCTAGTTTAATAACGAAAGATATTATAGACAAAAATTTAGGTGATTCCAAGGTCCTAAATATTAAGAAAATGATTTAAATTACAATTTTATTTTATTTTTAAAGCGTAAAAAAAGCGAATAACATTTCGTTAAGGGCCTTCGTGCTTTTAAATATAGTATAAATTTGATGTATATTCCAGCAAATGCAACTTTAACCTTTTGAGTTTCTTTGTGATTCATTTTACCTATTCCACGAAAAAAAATACATGTAAAACCAAAGTCTGATGCAACCAAATGAAATATTTTATCTAGTTTTTCCTTGGAAAAGATCATATATGAATTGTGTTTCTCTATCAAAAAACTCATTTTTTTAATATTAAGATAAAATTTAAAGTATAACAAAAACAAGAAACAAAAAGAACAAAAGTAAGACAAGAAATGCAGGTAACTCTGAGTTGGATTTGTATAACTTGTTATCCAATATAATTTGACTAAAATTCCGACTTATCAATTTGAGGCAGAGAAGTTGTTGGGATATATCCTATTAACCGTGAATTTTGGTTTGGATATAGTATTTATTATGGAACAATTATTTATTCAATTTTAATAAAGTTTTAAATAGATCATATATTCGTTTGTGTCATTTACTTATATAGTAGATGATTTAGTGTATAGAGTTTAGCTTATACACGGAAGATTAAATCTTCGGTTCTTATAAGTATAAAGATCATGTTCGCAATCTAATGATGGAATTGGACAAACCATCAGGAATGATTGCAGCACAAGATTAAATATAATTTATCTTGATTATGGGAATGGTTTAATTCCGACTTCTTGTGCTAGTACATTTTGTATATATTGAACGGACCAAGTAGAGATAAGTATTTAATGCTGACTTAATAAAATAAATTCTCTAGCCATTAAATGTACTTATACTCTTAATTTTGATATAATTATTATTAGTTGTGTATATTATTTATTGTTTTGATTTATTAAAGGGCGAGATTCTTTCGTGAGTCAATATGCCTGGAAAGTTGGACAATAATGATATACATTGGCAAAGTAATAGTTAGTTGATGGAATCCGTGTCTTGGTCTAGAGATTGATGATACACCTTTATGAAAGCTTATAAGTTTTCATGTGTAAACCCTGCAGGTGGATTTTGTATTCGTCACATGAAATAAATTAAGCAAAAGTTTAAAGGAAATAATCAATGAATTAAATTGTCAGTAATTTAATTTATCCGATTAGTATCTGAATCTTAACATGGGGAGTTAAATAAGGTTTAATGGAAGAATTTCAAAATTGAACTGAGGAGTGCAGTTACGAATTTTTAGTGGAATAATTCGTAATTTATTATGGTAGCATTAATTCGGATATTTCGAATTAAGTCCATAATATGAAGCCTCGTTAATTAAATACTGCGGTCCCTGCTGTGACCGAATAATTAGGAATTAAATGAAATTATATTTCTTGGTGGAAAAATAAGACACAACAGGTTTAGGAAAAGGCTTTAAACCCTAAAACATGTGGCTATATAAAGGGGTCTTATTCCATAAGGAGGCAATGGTTTTTGTGATGACCCTAAAGGTCATCACTTGTTTTTAAATTTAATTCTGTGTTTTCGAGGCCTTGAAAACCTCTTTCAGCCTCACCTCGATTTGCGTGCGCTATCCGGACGCGTAGCCGGAAAGCTTAAATATGAAAATCTGTGAAAAATGGTAAAATTTGGTTATAAAATGAGTTATTTTGACTCGGGTCAATGTTTTAGGTAAACGGACCCGGACCCGTGATTTGACGGTCCCGGAGGGTCCGTAGAAAAATATGGGACTTGAGCGTATGCCCGAAATCGAATTCCGAGGTCCCAAGCCCGAGAAATGAATTTTTGAAAGAAATTATTTTCTGAAATTGTTTAAGGAAATTGGAAATAAAATTTGATTAGAAAATGTTAGTATCGGGCCCGTATTTTGGTTCCGGTGCCCGGTACAGATCTTATATAGATTTAAGATGTTTCTGTGAAATTTGATGAAAAACGGACATCATTTGACGAAAAACGGACATCATTTGACGTGATACGGACCTAAATTGCTAAATTTGATACTTGATGAAGTTTGAGAAAAGTTCTTTGATTTTGAGGATTAATTCATTGTTATTGAGGTTATTTTGGCGATTTGATCGCATGGATAAGTTCGTATGATGTTGTTGAGTTGGTACGTGTGTTTGGTTAGGAGCCCCGAGGGCTCGGGTGTGTTTCGGATGTGATTCGGGAAGTTTTAGACTTAAGAAAAAGTTGTAGAAGTTCTGCTACAGGTGCTCAGGCCTGTTGTTCATCGCGATCGCGTAAGGTAAATGGGGACAGGGGTGGAATTGTTCATCGCGAACGCGAAGCCACAGTCGCGAACGCGGAGCACTAGGGGATTGCTCATCGCGAATGCGACTTGTGTGACACGAACGCGTAGTGTAAAATTGGAGGTGGGTTGGGATATAGTCGTCCTTCTACGCAAACGCGTACGCTTGTCCGCGAACACGTATGCTTGTCCGCGAACGCGAAGGTCAGGGGGAGTCAACCCTTCGCGAACGCGTGGTAGGACTCGCGATCGCGTAAGTCCACTTACTGGCAGCTCTTCGCGATCGCGACAGTGTTCTTGAGAACGCGATGAACACTGTCGCCCAGCACTTAAAACAATAGCCATTTCGGAATTTATTCAAAATTTCATAACTTCTTCATCTTAACTCCAAATTGGGCGACTTTTGAAAGACGATTTCACCACAAGTTCATAGGTATATAATCTTAGACTCATTTTCTTCAATTTCCATTAACACCCATTAGTTTTCTAGGCTTAAATCGTGTGAACAAGGGTAGAAAACTAGGGATTTGGGTAGAGTTAGGGCTTTTTGTTAATTGTGATTTAGACCTCGTTTCGGGGTCGAATTCTGAAAATAATTATATATTTGGGCGCGTGGGTGAATGGGTAATTTGATTTTGGTCCGAACCTCGTATTTTGACCAAGTGGGCCCGGGGTCGATTTTTGGGTTTTTGGAAGAATGATTAAAAAACTATAATTTGGCATTGAAATTGAATTGTTTAGCGTTTATTGATGTTATGAAGTCGATTATGTATAGATACGATCGATTTGGAGCCGAATTCGAAAGGAAAGGCGGTGTTTGAGGCTTGAGTTGGCTGTGAAAATTTGAGGTAAGTGTCCGGTCTAACCTTAGCTTGAGGGATTAGGAGTTGTGTCCTATTTGCTAATTGCTTCTTGTTGAGTACGATGTATAGGCATGGTGACGAGTATCTATACGTTGATGTCGAGCATGACCGTGAGTCTTGAATTGATAGATGTTGTGTTCTTAAATGTTACTACGGATGTTTTAATCGATGGTTCTCGATATTGAGCAAGATTTAGTTTAATTTCGTGGATTTTATTTATGATTGAGTGTTGGTACTAATTGAGCTGAGTAGGTGTTATACCCCATTTTAACACGGGTCAAATTAAAGCATAACATATTGGTAATTCTGAAGGTTTAGTTAATTAAGATAGTCGCCACCTAATTATTTTAACGGTGAATTATGACACCAATTTTAACTAAAGTAGTACTTAAAGTTAACTCACTTTTATGGTCTATTTAACCTTGAGATTATAGGTAAGGGTTCTAATTAATCCTATAGGGAAGGTTGTAAAAGCACCCTATGTGATCCGTTAATTACGATTAACCGGCCAAACTTAGGTTAGTTAATAGCTAAAAAAAGGTGTGAGAACGATATAAAATATTTGATGTGAAGTGGTCAAAACCTTTTATAGTAATTGAAAAAGGGTAACTTAAAAGAAATCCCAATGTACTAGGACGACTTTTAAAACAAGACAAATTTTATATAATTTGAAAATTTTGAAGTAGCAAAATACGTTAGATTCCAGAAAGTAGGCTAAAAATGTTTTCATAACGGAATGGAAATTTTATTAAGCTTATAACTTGAAAAAAAAAAAAAAAAGCCTTCATATGTACTTTAGAAAAATATTCAACTAGACTTAAGCATCTTGTGCTTACTCAACGCCATTAGAAAAAGATTTAATGAAAGGTTTTTTAAAGCATTATTTTTAAAGAGAACGAATTCCAAATTCTTACATCTGAAGCCTATCTTATGTGATTAAAATAGTAGTAAATCGATTATAAGAAACAAGGATAACTAAATACAATCATGCTAATATGAATTTTAACATATAATCTCAAAATAAAAATGAAGTCAAATCACACAAGTGAAGTTAAATAGCAAGAATGATAATGAAAAGAAAAGAAAGACGCCATAGGCGTCCCCAAGCATTTTGCTTGTTTTCTTGCTATCCGGTGAATCTATAGGAATCTATAGGAATATGAGATATGACTCCATGCTCGGGTTATGTTGGCGAGTCTTGCATTAAGACTGCATATTTGGCTCCAAGTGCATATGCAAAAAGAAAAGAAGAAAAAGATTAGAGAGGATAAAAGATCCTAAACAAATATTAAAATGAAGGAGAAAACAGTGGCCTCAATCAAGTTATTAGCTTGTACTAAATCATAAGCTCACAAAGGGATAAGGAATTTATTACTTCCAGCAACATTATACCAAAAAATTTGGAGAATTTCTTATTATTAACATATCTCCTACATACACCATCAAATGGACTTTCTATGTTTATTGAAATCTAAAGGTTGAACAAATTAAGTTGTCCTACAGTTGTTCCTTCTTGATCAGTGAATTATGGAACCTTGTTAACTCCTTTAAAGTGAACTAAACACATGCTATCTAATCCTTCCCAGAACATCTATTTCATGAAGAGAATACTGGAATTAAACCTATAGGCATAATCTCTAGGTGATGGAAGGTCTCATATATGGTAACTTTAATTCTATAGATCTGTCTTCACAGTTTTGGCATAGATCTCAAAGATTTGGATAAATAAGAATGTTAACAACATGTTTCTTCCGTTTTATGCATCAAAATTAAAGCGAGTGAACAGTGATAAGTTCTAATATACTCCAATGATCAGTGAATCATATTTTATTACACCGTCCACAAAATCAGATCCTTAACACGGCACCTCTTACTCCTAATTAGCTTTAAAAATAATAGCATTCTATGAACGTGCTTCCTAGAATGGAGAATAGCAGACAGCAGACACTAGACACCGGGAGAAAGGTCTTGTTACACCGTTTAATAATTTTTCTTCTTCTATGAATAGGAAAGTCTTAAGCATACTCTACTAAATCAAATTTCTTTTATTTTATTAGAGTCCTGATGTATAGATTTTACTATTCCTAAAGTCTTGACAGAGAGAGTTCAAAGAAATCACAGCAATTTCCAAGTTGTTCTATTGCTTAAAGGCATAAATTGTTAGAGGTGAAACAAGATAGCACATTTGACATAGTGACTTCCTATAGTCATTGCAACCAAGTATTGAAAGATTGTCTCCTTACTAAATTAGAGGATCCTCTAATCTAGACATATAGTAGCTAATTACTCTTCCAGTCATTATGCTTCCTACAACATTCGAACTAGGAAACAATAACTTACAATCATGTTTTAAACAAGACATGAATACATGAACAATGGTAATCAAAGCAAAGACCTAATATCAGTAAACTAATTTATTCACATAGGCAAGCAATTGACTTCTTATTTTCCTCAAGCTTTATGCAAACATACCACATAACTTCACAACTTTTACGCATACAAAAACTCTTAATAACGACTTCTATGGTAATAAACTATGACTCGTGTTTCGAACAAATAGACGATCATTTCAGATCTTCAAAGAAAAATGAGAATAAAGATTTCAGAGTTACCGACTATAGAAATCATAAATTGCTTTTCTTTCACAAAGGTTAAAAGGAAAGTCCTTTATCTCCTCCTTTTGAATTCCAAACATTAATATTTTCATGTAAGCATTTTATCAAATATTAGTCAGGCATGCTCCCAACAATACATATCAGAACATAATCACCTAAAAAACCATTCCTATCAGTTTTAACCACATAATTATTCTATCAAACTAAGGATAGACATGAGTAAAAGTACAACACCCATCTTTATAGTATTAAAATATGGAAACTTAACAGAAACTAATAAATCTTGAAACAAGCAGGCACGAAGTACCAAACGTGCTCTAATCAGAACCAAACAATAGCGAAGGAGAAAAATACGGACCTTTTGCACGGCAGCTAACTGAGGCGCGGATCTTAGATGCACTGTCGAACTCTGATTTCAAGCTCGCTCCTTCCTCTCGGACAAAAAGCAGATTCGACTAAAATAAATAAAGATAATCGATTTTATTCGAGGGTAAATACCTAACAGAATAGCAGGGGAGTCAAAAGAATGAAGCTTGCGGAAAATCTCAAATTTTGGGATGAAAGGGGGGCGGCTCCGAGCTTGGTTTTGAATGGTGAAAGCAGCGGCTGAAAACCTTCGTCGAAAATCTCTTCAAAGGCCGGTATTTATAGGCTGATTTCTAGGGTTCTTGGTTTAGGCGGGATTTCGAAATTGAGTGAAAAGCTATTGAACGTTTGAAATTTGAACGTTGGTGTTGCAGAAAATTAATTAACGTGCAGAGCTTCTTGTTCCAACATGGTAATGTCAGTCTGCCATGGCTGAGCAACAATGAAATTTTTATGAAGAAAAGGAAAGGAGGAGAAGAAGCGACTGTTGAGGAGAGAGTGAAAAAATTAAAACACTATATGTGTTTAGGTATTTCAGTCCTTGGATTAAGAGTTTATACGGCTAAGATTAAGTCTGGACTATTTATCAAAACGATGTAGTTTCAATGGGGTTCTAGAGTACTCTAAAGTTGGGTTAAAGTTGAGAATTTTGGGCTGCTGGTTTGACGGATTTGGGCCGGATTATGGGCTAAATTAGTGGGCTACCGAGGACTTAAGGGAATTTAGATGATTAGGGATTGCATTGGGTTTTAGGTGACTAGATATTGGACAACCCACTTTCTTCTTCAAGTCTTTCTTTGAGTTTTTAATTCTTATTAAATCTCTTAATTAATCTTATTAGTATATATTAAATATTAAATATTAATTAATTTATTCGATGCATTTTATCAAAATAAGACTTGCTATCATTTAATTTTGTAAAATAACTATTACATTAAAGAGTAAATATTATAAAGTATTAAAATAAATACTATTATTTAAATAAATAAAGGAGGAGATATACTTTTCGCAATGATAAGAATCATATTAAAATAAAAGTAATAACAGCTACAACAACAACAACAACAACAACAACAACAACAATAATAATAATAATAATAATAATAATAATAATAATAATAATAATAATAATAATAATAACATGTATACTAATAGTTTTAATAATAATAACAAATAGGTATAGTTTGTGTTAAAACAAATAGTAGAATAAGTACTTTATGTTATTTATGATATTAGAAGCTTAAAGAAATAATTTGGAAGAAAGGAGGGACAAAATTGGGTGTCAACAGTAGGAGTTGAGTTAGGATTGGTTATAGCTGATTCTCCCTTGCCGGGATGTTTATCTTGATATTGTTGCTCCCTTGCCGGGAAGTCATTACATTGTTTTTGTTCCCTTGTCGGGAAGTTATTATATTGCTTTTATTCCCTTGCCGGGATTCCTTGTGATTTTGTGTTGGCTTGTATAAGGGATCGGGTGGTACGCCTACCACGAGATATGATGAAATGGGATCGGGGGTACTCCTACCACGAGATATAATGAAATGGGATCGGGTGGTACGCCTACCACGAGATATGATGAAATGGGATCGGGTGGTATGCCTACCACGAGATATGATGAAATGGGATCGGGTGGTACGCCTACCACGAGATATAATGAAATAGGTAGCGGGTGGCACGCCTACCACAAGATATGTGAACTGGGATCGGGTTGCACGCCTGCAACAAGATGTGAAAAGAAAGTGAAATCTGCCTTTGTTTTCCTCATTCTTATTAGTGGTTTGATTTTGATTCCTTTATAGTTCTCTTGATATTTTGTTTCTACCTGTCATTCCCCGAAGCATGTTTCCCCCTCCCATCCTTACTTGTTTATTTCTGCTTTACTTTCCGCTGTATATTATACAACTGCACAGGTTTATTTGGTAGTCTGGTCCTAGCCTCGTCACTACTTAGCCGAGGTTAGGCTAGACACTTACCAGCACATGGGGTCGGTTGTGTTGATACTACACTCTGCACTCTTTTGTGCAGACCCCAGTGTTGTTGACTTTGGATCACAGTGGGATTGCTGATTCTTGTTCATCAGGCGACCCGAGGTAGTCCTGCAGGCGTCCGTAGGCCATGGCGTCTCCTTCCATCTACTATTCCTGTTTCTTTCATGTATTTCCAGAGACAGTGTTGTATTTATTTCTTTTAGACCTTTATCTGTAGTATTCTTAGACCGTCTGTGATACTGTGACACCAGTTCTGGGTAGTCGAGGTTCAAACAGTTGTATTAGATATTCGTGTTCAGTTAGCTTATGGCTTCTTTCTTCCGCTTATGTTAAATTACGTTGTTTAAATGTTATTATTATTATTAGAATTGCTAATGAATATAAAACGAGGGAAAAAGGTAATGTGAAATT